TCTAAACTCTAAGGCGTAAAATCAAATAATTACACAAACCATGCAAATGAGGACTAAAATTAAATATTTATAAATGTGATGGCCAGATTCGAATGTCAAAGAAACATACACGAGATATTAAATCAGTGGCTAAGATATAACATTTATAAATATTGAAACCAGAACCAAATATAAACAAAAATGTTATAATACCTAGGATAGTGATTAAAAATATAAAAGTGAAAAGATAAAGGCTCAAATTGAAATAATGTAAACTTCATTCCATGGCTAAATCGTGAGATTACAAGGATCAAGGACCTACAGTGTAGTTTACCCCTTTTAATATGAGAGACACGGGAAGAATGATACAAAGATGTAAGGACCAGATGGACTATTTACCCTTTTATGCTGAAACACGCATACCCTGACCCCTTTTACACGACGTCGTTTTGGGTCCATCATAACCCAAAATAAGGGTTTCGAAACCCTTGTTTTTCTCATTCTCAGCCGCTCTCATCTCTTAAAACAGAGAAAAAAAAAGCTCTCAAGGTTCTCTCCCTCTCCGCCTCTGTCTCCGCCGTGGAGAGAAAATAAAGAGGCCACGGCCGGCGATGGCGCAAGAAACCTTACCCGAGACACCCTATGACCTTTCCCCTCCCTCTCTTCGAAAGAAAAAAACCTTTAATACCCAAACAGAAACCGAAACCCCCTCCTATTCGAACCCTAGATCGTAGAAAGGTGAAGGTTTTACCTTCGATGGTGGCCCCTCCTAACTCCGGTGAGGAAGCAACGATCAAATCTCCCTAAAGGTAAGATCTCTATCTCGTTTTTTTTTCTGCTTTTTACTGTTAGTTCTCCATTTGGTTTTACTCTCTGAATTTCTCTCTTTTTTTCTTTTTTTCGGTTATCACCCTTCTTTTTTTTCTCTCTCTGAACCCGAATGAATCCCCCTGTCATTGCATGTCTCTTTCTTATGGTCTTTTTTTGCTGAGAATCCTCATCTCCATTTGATAGGAATCATGTTCCTAGGCTCGGGTTAGTACCAAAAGCCAAATATTTAGGGATTTAGGACTTTTTTAATGGGTTTTCAGATTTGAGGGTGATTTGGTCCACTGTTGATGATGTTTTATTTTCTGTTTGATTGGTTCTGCTGTAGATGACGATAGTGGAGCAGTTGGGTCGGCGGCTGGACCATCGAAGTGGTGGCTCGGTGATTGGCTCACTGCTGGGAAGCTGAGGAGTTGAAGTCGCGGCGGCTATTAGGGGATTAGGGTTAAAACCCTAATTTGTTTTAGGGTTTGAAACCCTAATCTATTTTAGGGTTTGAAACCCTAATCTGATGGGTTGGTTCAGGGTACTGGGCCATTAGGTTTAGCTAGTTGGGCTCCGGGAATGGACCTTCTGTAATCTGGGCTTAGTGGCCTACAAAAATTGTAATATGTAATTAATAAACATAATAATAATAATAATAATAATAATAATAAATATATATAAATAATAATAATTACAATTAGATAGAAAAGACCCGGACAAAAACGGGTGTCTACAATATGACTTGCTATAATTATTGTTGTAGCCCCTCTTAAAAATTAATAATTCAAATTATTCCTTTTAGTTATAAAAGTAATTTCTCCAATTTTTGAATCCTTAAAAAAATAATTCAAAGTAAACTATTTAAACATAAATATTATACTTTTACCTCGCTCCAAACTATAATTCTTGGATTATCTCACTTGTACATGAACCATTTGACCAAATAAAAGTCCGGCCATGTGACGGATATGGTCGAGACCTGTCTTCTTCTTCCATCAGCCACCGCCATTAAAGACCTTAATAATAAAAAGTTACCCTTTAAATCACTTTAAAGCAAACTACTTTAAACTGTTTTCCATCTGGTCCCTTCCTTTTTTATTTTCATCAATTGGCAGCCATGTTCTTGCTTTTGCAAATATTTCTCAATTATACAATGCAGTGCGACTCCCATACCCAATTCAGGAAACACTTGAATCTTGTAGTACCAAACATTTAGGTATAGATCGGCAACTTTTGATAAGTTTTTGGAATCTTTTTGTCATGAAATAGACAAATTAAATAAATGGATCATCTTTATTAAGGTATCTTTTGTTTTTACATCACTGCCCAACTCTTTGACTGCAAACTGTTTTTTTCCAACGTCCAATGGAAGTTAACCACTTTGCAGCTTTTCTGTAAGAAAGCTAACATTCCAAAGAATATTCTAAACTGGATTTATAGTCATAATAACGAATTATAACATGCATGGAGAATATGAGAAAATGCTACGTGTTGGCCCTTTAAGCTAATTAATTTCTCAGTTTATTAAACTAATCATTGAAACAGAAAAAGAAAATATCGTGATTAATTAGAGCAAAAGCTTTGTCGGCCTCATGCTAACCATTATCAATGAGTTTTTTTTTTTTTTTTTTTTTTAAAGGCTTTCTTTTCTTTTCCAGCTTCACTCATGATTCTACTGAGCTATGGATTCCCTATAAGTGTTTATGTAAAAAAAAAAACATGGAGTAACAATAGCTAAACATATAAAGGACTAGAATGATCATTTTTCATATATATTTGTTATGTTTTTCAAAAAAAATTATTCAAACAATTTTTTATAATCTATTATCTAAATGTAAATTAAAAGTAAAAAGTTATTTGATCAAATGATTTTTTTTCTAATGAAATAAATATAAAGTTTTAAAGTGATAAAATTTGAAAGTTGAGTTAAAATTTGAAATGATCCAATTTAAAGTGTTTGCTTTTTCATGTATTTGGTCAGAGAGGAACTATTTATTGACTTTAACAAGTAATACTGCGATTTCTTTTTTCTTGATTGAGAAAAAAATTAGATTGTATAAAAAGATGACTTTCACGTTGAATTGATAATGCTTACGTCGCTAACAAAATTTACCCTTCATCGTATTACTATTATTTTACGTAATAAAAATAAATTTTTTTTTAAATAATGCAAAACGTAATTGATATCAGAATTCATTTTTTTCAACCAGTTGAGTTGAGCTTTCTTTTTCAATTAACAAGAGACCAGTTTAATTTTAATTCTGATGAAGATTATAATAGATCATTTATATAATTGTAAACATATTATAAAATTTTTGATATATTAATACTTTATATTTTATACAATTTGACATTTTTATATTATCTTTTTAATTTGAATCTAAAAAAGTGTGGCGTTGAATATTTTTATTTTCTTAGATTCTTATTTATTTGAAAAGAAATTTATAATTTATCTAATATTTGAATTTATTAAAAGATATATTATTATAAAAAATTAAGATAGAAAATTATTAAAAATTCATTTATTAAAGAAAGAAGAAAATGTTTATAATAAAAACAGATAAAAATATAACACAATCCTTTTTTTATTTTCATGTTTTTCATAAACAACAGATAAAAAATTCATGTTTTTCATGTCAAAATTTGGACCATGAAGTGCCTTAATATTAAGCTATTGCTTCTTCTTTAATTTTAAAAAATAAAACCTGAATAAACCAAACATACAGCCTAACTATTAAACGACTCCAGTGTCTATTTAGAATTAGGCTTAATATAAAAAATACTCAAATTATAATATTTTTCCTATGTTGATGCCAAAACATTTTTCAGTCCATATGAGTTTCTAATGTTATAAACATTATCATTAGGTGCCTCAATTGTATCTGTCGTTTAAAAAAATATGTTAAGTGACACGTATGAAGTAATTTTGAAAATTTTATTTTAAAAAAACATAAAAAAATATTATATTAAAAACCCTAATTTTTCTTAAATTACAAAAAAAAACTCAAATCCTTAAAAATCTCAAATCTCTAACCTTAACCTTACATTTCTTGCTGGCCACCACCGTCGACGTCATCCTTGCCATCTTCCTAGTCAGATGTCGTCATCCTCACCATTGATTAACCGTCGGAATTGCGTGGTGTCTTGATTTGTAGCTTTGTTCTTCGTCGAGGTCGTGTGATTCGTCGGCTCCATTTTTGGTTCGTTGGCTCTTATTTTGGTGGCTTTTCGTCAGTTAATTGGTCGTCTGGTGGAGGTGCAGTTAGATGAAAGTTCAGTGACGATCGATGTGGGTTTAGGGATAGAAATTAAAATTTTCAAAGTTTTATTAGTTTTTCTAAAAAATTGAGATTTTTTTATAAAAAAATATAATTTAAATTTTTTATTTTAACTAAAAATTTTAAAATTATATAAATGTGACATGTGTCATTTAGTGAAATATTTTAACGATAGTAATGAATAAAGCATAAAAAATAATAACATTTGTAATATTAGACACCAAAATAAAAAAAATTATAATTTGATCACTTTTTATATATTAAGCCTTAGAATTATTAGGTTAATCCGTTATTATTTTTTATCATCCGGTTCAACTTTTCAGGAGTCCGAACCATACGCACGTCCCCACGTCAGCTTCCTATCAAATTCAGACACGTGTCCACCATGATCCACGTTATTGAGTTTCTTCATGACTAAGCAAAATTAAAAAGGAAAATCACTTATTTTTATGAACCAAAATAAAAAGAAAATCACTTTTCAAGTGACCCCATTGAGCTCATATCATATGTCACCCCATTTTATTTTTTTGGCTTTCTCAATGATATTACTGAAAACCGCCACCATAGTGCCACATGACTCAAAAGTTAATTCCCATACATATATACGATCCATATACGAATTTACAAAATTAAAATACACATGATATTCATCAGTGGCGATGCACTAAGCCCCTATAGGGGCCAAGTGCATCCCTATTATTTTAGAAAATTGGTTAAATTTAACTTAATGTGTTAAAGGAAAAAAAATTATAATTTTTGCATATCCATTATTTTTTTAAAAAAAATTAAAATTTTAAACTACCATTCTTAAATTTCTGGTTCGTCATATTTTTGCAATCACGTGGACCCACAAAACTGCTCAGCTTCGCCCATAAATATCAGCCCCCTACACTGCATTTCTTCCCTTTTCTCCACCTTCCTACCTTCCCCCGCATAAATCATAATTTCTAAACCTTTTGCTTTGTTTTTTTTTTACTTCTTTATTATTATTATTACTAAAGCCATGCTGTCCACTATTCCGGCCGATATCTCATCCGGTTCATTGGTCGACTACGATCCATTCCTATATTTCGAAAGCGGCTTCACGCTGCCGTGGGATTGCTCGGAACTTTTTAATACAACCCAATCAATACAGCCAGCGGGATCGGGTTCTGGTTCAGACGAAACAAACCAAAACCGAACCAACTCGAACTCTAGTTTAGATGAACCGAACCAGGCACTTTCTGTCATCGAGGAACGAAAGAGGAGGCGTATGATATCGAACAGGGAATCAGCGAGGAGGTCACGGATGCGTAAACAGAAGCATTTAGAAAACCTAAGGAACCAGGTCAACCGGCTTAGAGTCGAGAATCGAGAACTGAACAACCGGTTGAGGTTGGTTCTGTACCACTGTCACAGTGTAAGGACGGACAATGATCGGCTCCGGTCCGAATACAGTATGCTCCGACAAAAACTTTCGGACATACGTCAAATTTTGCTATTCAAGCAACTGCAGCAATTTTCACCTGCATGAACATGCTATAACGTTAACGCCATATCCGAACAGAACTCATCATTAGTCACTTAATATATATTGAACTTGCAATAATGGCATCATAATTCGAGAAACCCATATTTAGCCATAGCTCTCATCCAGTAAAGTAAGAAGGGTGTGAGAGAATATATATATTAAATGATGGGTGTTGTTGTTGCTATAAACATGATGATGAAGAAGAAAAACTAGTTTTTTCTCTCTCGATGAATTAGAAGAAATGGTTTTGTGTTGTAAAAAGAGGTGGTTATTTTTGTTGTTTTCTTCTTTGTTTTTAGCATTTAATAGTGGTCTATGTTTCAAGCTCCTACTCTCTTTACGTTTTGCTTTATTTATTTTCTGGGCAACATACAATGCAACATATCAAACTATAACTTGCTTTTTGGAAATGTAGATGTGCCAATGATGACTCCATTGAATTTGAAGTGCTATAATGTATTGTCTGAGTTGCACATTAAATCAGTTTCAATATTGATAATGATACGAAATTCATTGAGTGGATGCAGTGATTAAAGGAAGTGTTATCTCTTGAAGTTTTGGGTTCGAGCAGTTCTATTTGTAGGGTGTGTGCGTTATCCATGGTTAAGGAATATTATAAACATATATTACTTTATAATCATCTCAAATTAATTATAAAAAAATTGATAATGATACCATAACTAAAGATTAATGAAGGGCAATAATTGTCATCTGCCACTGTTGGTTTACTTGATTGGGAGAGACCCAAATTATCAGTCAAGCAATGGTGTTATTCTTAAATAGAGTTTTGGGTTCCACTTGATACATTTTCCTTTAGGAAATGATACGAAAGACCCCATTCCTTTATGGATAGAATATCTTATTTCTTTGGTAAATCAAGACTTAAACCAGCTCTCAACATGTTTTTTTTTTGTTCTTTAATTGGTTTCGGATAAAGTACAAATAAAGAAGAATTAACAAAATAATTCTATATAAATAACAATAGTCCAGGCCTGGCCGAGTGATGGGAATAAGTGACGAATACATTTGTAATTTGTTTTCTACTTTAAAATCTAAATTTTCAATTAATGATATATTTTATATATTGATTATATCTATCCTAAAATTTTGTTTGTATTCATCTAAACAAAAACTTTATATGATTAATATATATGTACTCATCTTAATATTTTTTTTTTGGGATATGCTGCTTATTGGAATACGGAGCCAATCCAGAGGTCTGGGTTCGCTTACCTTTGGCTGAATGCCTTATCTCTTCTCTGTTACTATGGTTCGATCGATTTAAAAACAACTCACCTACAACAACTCCCTCAAAATTGTAGGGTGCTCCAAGATGTTCAATGAATCTGTGTTTTCCTGTAAAACTAGTCAAAGGAAAACACATTTGTACTGAAGAACCATTACCTTCCAAACGCTTTTCCAATCAATCTCTCCTCTAGTCATAAGAATTCCGACTTCATTTCTAATTTTACAATTGACTTTCATTTAATCATTTCTTTCTACAAGACCCCATAAACATAAGTATGTTCAATAAACTGCATAACTCATATGTTCTCAGTTTACTTATTAGTCCTTAATTGTAATTTGCAGTGTCACAACACTTCAAATAATAGAAGGGGAAAAAAACAGCTATGAAAATCAGAAGTTCTATTTACGAGGAAAAGAGCTAAAAGTTTTTGAGAACTTTTCTCATTTCCAATTGACATTTAATAATAGCTCTAGTACAAGTATAGATTTTAGTAACCAAACTATATCTAATTAAATAATTCTCTCTTAAACTTTTGCTTTTATATCTGGCAACACTAATCTTTAATGGCCAACTATACCCACACCAAGACATTTATGCAACATTGTCCTGTGGATATTCCCCGCATATTATAATAATAAAATATGTTAAGGTAAATTATATTCTAGGCCATTTAATTATGAATTTGATCATAAACATGTCATTAATAGACAGTCGTAAAATATTTGACGGAGTAACAACATGGCTTAGTATGATAACACTTTTAGTCTTAAAAATTATAAAATTTATTAATTTTGTCACAATTCAAATAGTTCAATAAATCTAATATTTCATATTAAAAAATTTCATCACTTTAGTCTTTGTTATTTTTTTAAATTGATTGTTATTCTACTAGAAATGTTATATTATTTTTATGGTATAATAACAGTTTAACAGTAATCTGTTGCTATTTTATAGCATAGTGTAATTATTCAACAATTGTTTTATCTGTCTGGTTTACTTGCCTTAATGGTATCGCAAAAAAGATTAAATTGAAGAAAATATTAAATATGAAAGATTAGATTTTTGATTTGTTTTAAATTAGACGAAACTAATAGAATGTATAAATTTTGAGAATAAAAGTATTATTATAACATATTAATTTTAATGACAAAATGGTGTGTTTACAATAATATTTTAATTTAGTAATATATTAGTAGTTTTTAGAAGAAAAATGACATGTTTATTATCAAATTCATAATTAAGTAATTTCCGATTTAATTTACTTAATATTTTACTTTTACAACTTTTAAAATTAAACATGCACAGCCACAGTATACAATAATTCCCAATAACTTATTGGTCTCTTCCAAAGGACATTAAAGGAAGTTTAATTAAATCTTTTCGGTCGTTAATTATACACGCTCTTTAAGTTAAGTAATTAAATTAAATTGCAAGTTGAACTTATTTGCCTATCGGTTCTAAACTTCTAATGTTCCAAAACTATATTCTTAATTTGGATGGAAAATTGACATAAATTCAAGGTTTTAATTAGACAGAAAATTTTGTCCAAGTATTTACATGATTCGTAGCGAATTAAGTACTGTTGCTAAAAATAGTCTTATTTATAATAACCAAAATATGCACATAATTATGTTATATTATAATGTAAAAACATAAGTTTACACTCAATAAAAAAGTAATATGCAAAATGCTTGTAAATATTATAATGATTTATTTTTTTACATACAATGCAAATACTAATACCATAATTAATGTAAATATATTCATTTAATTGACTGAAAATATAATAGAATATTAATTTTTTATATGAAAATGGAGAAGCAAGAAGAACAGGGTAATGGGGCCAGGGGTTGTTTCAAATCAAAAGGCTGGTTGGTTGGTTTAACCATCAATGGGATTAGGTACCGACCTCATATAATTATATCTATGTGTAGGGCATGTTGTTTTAAAATGGGTGATGGTATTAGGTATTATTAGATAATAAGTAAACTTATAAACAAAATGAGGCTGCCATTTGATGGATAAATGTATTACAAAGATCTTATGGAAGTTCTTAGGCAAGACCAGATTGTCAGCAAACAGCAGCAAAGCATGTAATAATAATAATAATAATAATAATAATAATAATAATAATAATAATAATAATAATAATAATAATAATATAATAATAATAATAATAATAATAATAATCTGAGATTAATGGTTAAACAAAGAGTCATAATCAAATTATACCTAGCTTTCAACAATACTCTTCTAGTGGTTAAACAAACTCCTGTCTAGCGCCAATTCTACCTTTAGGAAGTGTGGGGAGATTAGATAACTTCACCAAATTATCATCTCTAACATCACAAGAATTGATGTATATAACTTTAGACCATAAGCAAATGATAGAGATGGTATCAGTATGCCAAATACTTGTCCTCATTACTTTATGAGCCCATATTCAACATACATCCAAACATAATATAATAATATAAGAATCAGGTAGTTGAAAGTCCGAGTCTAACAGAATTGATGTAATCTGTAGGGAATGAGCAGCGACGCCGGGCATTGCCAATCCTACAAGCATTGCCAATCCTACAACCCTAAATAGTATTGACAACCATCCTTCCTTGTACTCTGCTCCATATATGTAAGCCGCTGCCAAACATCTTATTAACTCCCAAAACGCTTTCAGATATTCAGGGATCAGTTTGCTTATCTCGAAGTAGTTTTTATTTGGCTCCTCAGCCATCCTCTTTAAACAAAAACAATACATCTATACTATAAAAGTAGACATTTGGCCTGATATACTGTGGTATTTTATGTTAAATTCATTAATTATACAAAATTAGAGCAATGTAAAAGTAAATACCCGTTCAATGTAAAAACTGTTGCAGTAAAGGCAGACCCCAAAATGCTTATATAAAAAGGTTTTATCATCATAAGGCAACCTAGGCTCTAACCCCCTAGACCCAGCCTATGCGTTTTGACTAAGTCTAACAGATTACATTCATGATTCTTAAAGACATTTGTCTAAAAACGTTATTCGATAATTAAAATCATGTTACAAATAATATTTATAAAAGTATAATAATTTATACTATAAAAACCCAACTCATGAATGTAAAAATAAAAAGTAAAAAAATTAATTTAACACATGACATAAATTTTGGATCACCATAAACCAAATATCAGTAGCAAAAGCAATAGTCGTCTGAAATAAATACTTCGAAATAAAGGTCCCATGTTACCAAAATAAAGTCAACTTGAAAGATAAAATCATTACAATCAGATGTACTACAAGAGACGTGTTGATCCTCCAAATGCTTGATTCGGGGTGTCTAACCAACAATATCTGAAAGGGAGAAATACATTTTTGAAAAGTGAGCTAGAGCTCAGTGTGTCCCAACAGTACGATAAAATCATAGTAGGTACAATAAACAAGTAATAGTTCAGTAAATCATCATAAAATCATAATGAAGTTTAGCTTTTAAAACTCGTAGTTTAAACCCTTCTCATGTACACCATTCAAAGTTCCCCAAAATTGCATCCGTAGGGCTTACCTTAAGTACACAACAAAAAGGAAGCCAACCTAAGGATAAGCTTTGGGTCCTGTATCCTTGGGTCCGTAGGGCTTACCCTAAGCATACAGCAAAGGGAGACAACCTAATGGAGCATCTTGGGGCCCGAGAGCCTACCCAAGAGTTACATTAGGTCCATAAAGTTTACCAGCTTAATCAGAGTTGTACCTCTGTACTTCAGTCCAACCCAAAATCAGTATTTCAAAAATACAATTTATGCAGTAAACATAATTTCCATAAATCCATAATCATTGTTATCATATATTAGTGAAAACCAATAATCATATATCAGTCGTAGTACATAAGCCATCACCAATAAATCGGTGCATCATTAAAACAGTAAACCATAGATTTCGATGTACCATATTTCAAAACAGATAAAACAATTAAGTAGTACACAGGGAACACACCTTGATAATAGGGTTAAACTGTAGATCTATTGAGTACTGGCCTCGCCACGCTCTGCTACAGTTTTCGAACCTAATTCATAATAACATTATATTACTAGTGGGTAACATAATTAACTTATGAAATCATAAGATTTACGGGTCATACGAGTGAATACTGGCACATGCGGTCTAACGAATTTAGAGGAGCTGGGTCGAGCTGTCGAGCGATCAGGAGAGTCTCTTGTACCTTCAAATAACAATAACTAAATAGCCTCAAGTCTTAATTTAATCATTCAAAGCTAAAACTCTCAAATACATATGCATTTTCCGGGTTTGACTGAGAATTTGGAGGCTTTCAGCTTCGAATTTGGCAAAATGGACTGCAGAATCTGGATCAGGACGTCGAAAAACATAAAATGTCTTTTCGAAAATTGACTTTTTGGTCAAAGTCAACGGGTTTGACTGACTATTTCGAGGCTTTCGGGTTCGAATTTAAAAAAATTGACTTCGGATTCGGACTCATGACGTCAAAAATATAAAATTTGACTTTTCAAAAATTATAACTTTTTGGTTAAAGTCAACGGTCGGTCAACAGTCAACGGGTCCTGTCAATGGGTCAGGTCAGGTCAGACCGGTTTGAACTAGTCAAATGGGTCAAACCAGTCAAATGGTTCAGACAGGTCAAACTGCCCCAACCCATTTCGAAGCTCCCCCACGCATAGAGGCGGAGCGTGGCGTTGCGTGGGGGCGCGTTCAGCGACCTCTGGTGTCCTAAAAATTCTCGAAAAATTTCTAAAATCATTTTAAGCGATTTTAAGACATTTACCAAGCTCGGTTCAAAATTTTGAACAGTGAGAGCTCGATTTTAACACGTTGGAAACTTTGACTTCCTCATTTCCCTCACGCGCCGGCGACGACGACGCGACGGACACCGGTGGACTCGAAACGACGCAAGGAACACGATGGTGCGGGAGGTGTCAAAAACAGAGCAACGATCGGCGATAAATTGACGATTTTCACGGCGGTGGTGTTAAAAAAATGTCAAAACCTTGAATCGTAATTCACGTTGTTTGACAGTGTTTCTGTAACAACCCGAAAAAATGAAAAAAAATTAATTGTGTAAATTGGTGAAAATTAGGGACTAAATTAAAAAAAATTCAAAACTTGTAGCATAATTTACCCTAGAGTTAAAGGAAATTCAGGGACCAAGCCCTGAATTTACCCTAAAAGTGTCGACAGGTTTTGGGTTATATATGCGTGCAATTGGTTTATGTAAAACAGAAATCAATTGCTCATAATTTGCCTCCCCCAATGCCAACTTCCAAACCCGATTCTAACGCCGTCCAAATTTCGATCGTCGTTTTGAAACCACAACCATGTTCATCATCGAGCGAGGAACAAACCCCTTAAATCAATTGAAGTGAAACGCTACCAAACGCCGTGAATTTCAAGTCAAAATTTCGACTTTTTTTAGCACCATCGCCGAGAAAATCTTAAATTCATCGCCGATCGTTACTCCGTTTTCGACACCTCCCGCACCATCGTGTTCCTTGTGACGTTCCGCGTTCGTCGGTGTCCTCATTGTCTCTGTCGGCGACGACGCATGAGGAGGTGAAGCGGTCAAAGTTTCCGATTTATTGAAATCGAGCTCTCCACCGTTCAAAATTGTGAACTGAGCTTTGTAAGTGCCTCAAAATCGCTCATAATAATTTCTAGGAATTTTTTCGTAATTTTTCCGACGCCAGAAAGTGCCTCACGCGTCGCCACTGCGCGTGGGGAAGTCTCGGCCAGCTTGAAACCGGTTTGACCGGTCTAAATCGGCCCGACCCCACCTTACCTGACCGTTGATCGTTGACTTGGGTAGTTTTGTAAATATTTTTAAAAGAGTGTTAGTTTTGTAAATATTTTTAAAACGGGTGTTATTTTCATAAATATTTTTAAAAGGGTGTTAGTTTCGTAAATATTTTTAAAAGGGTAATAATTGTGTAAAATGGTTGATCGTCTGTTAACCTCCTTTTGACCAGAACTTTGACCGGCATTGACCGTCCATTAAACGGTCGTTGATGTTTTTCGAGTATTTTTATCCTGATATTTTTTGACATCCCGAATCCGTTTTTGGGATCCGTTCCGCCAAATTCGAACCCGAAAGCCTCCAAATCGTCAGTCAAACATGTTGACTTTGACCAAGAATTCAAATTTTTGAAAGGTAATATCTTATGATTTTCGACGTCCAGAATTTGATTCTGAAGTCTGTTTTGCCAAATTCTAACCCAAAATCCCCGAATCGAGCTTGTTAACCCAAAAATGCTTAGTATTTTAGTATTTTTTATTATTTATTGGAGATATGGTTAAGGAATTAATTCAATAAGATATTTTATGAAGGTACTCGTGTTTCACCTGAGCGAGGATCACTTAGGTCTGTTGTTGTCCGTTCGTCAGATCAGCCCGAACCGCGTACTACGAGAGTTACCTGTAGGTTTCCGTAAATTTTTTTTATAAAGATTAAGATTATTTATATTAAGATTCCAATATGGATTTTTCCAATTTGTAGGATCTACCGCTGCAGCAGAGCGTGATCGACATACCTAGTAGTAGGCTTCCCTATCTGATTTCTCAGACTGTTACAGGTGTGTTTCATGACAATATTATTTTACTGTTTAAAAAAATATTATTTGAATTGTTTTAGATTGGTGATAATTCATAATAATGTTATGACAAGATACTTGATTTTTGAATACTGGTTACCTGACATCTGATTACCGTATTTTCTATTTATGATTTTTAAGCATGAAACATTTTCTTGTTTTAATGAATTATCCACCAATTTCACTTGAATATATACTTCTTATTATTGACATTGGGGGAAAATATTGTTGGAGGAAGAATACTTGCAGGCTCCTCGACTTTGTGCTCATGGCCTTACTGGACGTGACAGGGTGGATGGTTCTGGGGAACCTACACATTTTGTTTGTGACGGATAGGGGTATTGTTCATATTTTAAAATAAAACAAACATGTTTGATAAACTGATTTTATTGGAATATTTTATTAGTATGTTTTTATACACTGTTTGGAACACACTGGGTTGTTTAACTCATTCTGTAAATTTTAACTTTTTCAATAACAACAGACTGTAAGCTAGCAAATTTTGCATCAGGGAGATCAACTACTTTTATTTTGTACGAATGTATTTCTCTATATATTTTCCAGTTATATTTGGTGGCATGTATTTTGCTATCATTTTGGATATATTTATATTATCGATATTTTGTTCCATATTACCTCTAATGTTTATAAGTTGTTTTAAATATAAAAAAAATCTCTAAATGGGATATGTGACCACTTAGGTTTGGGTCTAGCGTTCAGACCGAGTCTAGGGGGTTACAGTTTCGCTACGATTGGTTTACGGTATTTTGTTCAGGGTCGACGACGAACACAATGGTTGTTTCGGATCGACGATCAATGGCCGGACGGCGTTGAGATTGAGTTTGAAAGTAGGGTGCGGGAGGAGGAAAATTTAAGCAATTGGTTTCTGATTTCGAAATCATAACCAATTGAGCGTATATAATATAATTTCTGTCGACACTCATTGGAGAAATTCAGGGCTTGGTCCCTGGATTTCCTTCAATTTCTAAAACAGTCTACAAGTTTTGAAAACTTTTAATTACATCCCCAAATTTCACCAATTTGCTTAAATATAATATATTTTTCCGGGTTGTTACATGCACCACATCATTGCAGTAAACCACACTGAAATACTTGGGAACCGGTTCATCCAAATGCGGTTCAATGAACTTCTTGAGCTGTCGGTCCCCAACCCTCGGCTGTCCAAATGTATTCGCTCTCCAACTTTTCTAGTAGCTTCGTCTCTCCATGTATTGCAAGCACTATCGGAAACATAATAGCCAAAGCCTCTCCTACACTATGTCCAGTCTCTACAAATTTTGCATTCTCGTGCTCTATGAGTAAGCTCCTAAGCTTTTCTCTACCCAAATAGTATGCACTCCTATCGGCCATTTCCGACCATGGGGTGCAAGTTTTCCCATTGCTACCGGACTGTTCTGCGACTTCGGAATAGGTATGATTTGTGATCAGATGATTATATAAGGTTGAAATATTTCTCTGTTGCCTAATACTAATGCCTCAAGAAATCCCATATGAATTTTCCCTACATTTGGACAATCGTATCAAGAGTAATCGACATCCGTGCTCCAATGGTCGGCATCGAAAGGTTCAGTGCCCCGAAAGCTGATCAATATTAAAGATGCGTCCTTTGGCTTGTCACGTGTAAGAAAAACTTGAGTTGATTTCTCCTTTTGGTAATCTATGAAATGGTTGGAAACCATGGAAGGAATTAATAGACAGAATTTAAAGAAAAAAGGACATTGAAAACGAAGGGTATATGCATTCTTAAGTGATGCAAGAACCAGATGAATTTATGGTATTTGGGAATTGTCAAAGTCTCGATAGATAACACAAAGTTACATTGAGAATGGAGCTGATCTTACCGTTATAGGAGCCCACAAAGTGCATCTGCAAACATATGATATGTTACAAAGATTATAAAAATAATCCGAACATGTCAGATTCCAGCAAATGAAACGAAATTGAGATAAAAGGGGAAGAGAGGAGTAAAGCTTGCCTTCCAATGGCGAACGACAACGTTTCTAACAACTTGAGCATTTTCATAATCCAGCTTTGAAGCCATCATACACAGGTCCATTGTCTCTCGAACACTGGATTCAAGTTTTGCGATTCCTTCAGTAGATGAACCAGATTTATGCAAATAAAAGTATCAGTTCCTCTCTTTAGTATTACTACTTTTCCTGCACAAATACACCGATATTATATATAATAGATAGATATCGTTATTGTCGTATTCGAAGTTGAGCAAGTTAAATTTACCATGGAGAATGTTTGAGAGTATGCCAAAGAGAGATCCATTTTCGGATATAAGGTTGAGAAAGAAGTCGACCACATGACCAGTGAACTCCATAGGCTTCCGGAACAAATGAAGGAGTTTAAGTGCAACTATAGACACCAATATAACAAACCGATGATCTGTCTCTTCTTCGGCGGTGCCACCACCCACCTCCACCGCACCATGGTTTGAGCCCCACAGCGAGTACTTCAACAGGTTCCAAAATCCACCTGTGTCTGGTTTCACATTTAGGTACCGGAAGCCATCATTAATGTTGCTATCAGCCATTGATGTGTTTCTGCTTCAGATTCTGGGAAACTTTCGATAGTATTACGGATGTTTGTTCTTTTTTTTTTAGTATTGACGGATGCGTTTATTCTTGTATGAAATTCGGCTGTCTTTTATAAACTGCAAGGAGAGTGGTGTAAAGTTTGGAGATTATCTGTGAGTTTAACGGAATTCGGACAAGTTCCAAGTTAAGGTTTACACGGATAAGTTTCATCGGTTTATTATGTATTGATACTTGAATTTAATAAAAAAATTAAATTAGTATCTAAACTTTGTAAAAAAAGATTAAACTAGTATATAAACTTCATTTTATCTCAAATTGATATATAAGCTTAAATTTTTTTAAATTAGTATTTATGTTGAGTTAGCATCTTAACAATAGATCAATTTGTTGATAAGCTATTAACCAATAAAAATAAAAACATAAAAAAGTATAATATGTTACATAATGATTAATTGTTGAAATATAAGATTAATATTAAATATTAATTTAATTTTTCAAATTAAATATCATTTTAAAATTATTTTAAGTTTAAATAACAATTTATACGATAAATTTTTCTATATATGGTTCAGTTCAGTGATATGCTTGTGGTGGTTTGCCCATAACTATGATAACAGTAATAAGAAACTTCTGGTTGTGGAAATGATGTATTGGAAGAAGTTTATACACTTTAAGATCTAAAAATAGTTAAAGTGTATAAATTTCGTCCAATACATCATTTCCACAACCATAAGCTGCTTATTTTTGTTATAATAGTTATGGGCAAACGGCAAATCACCACAAGCATATCACTGAACTGAACCATATATTGAAATATTCGTCGTATAATTTAATATTTAAACTTAAAAAAATTAAATTGATATTTATAAAACTTTTTATCCTAACTTAGCCGTTCTCTCCCTCCCTCTCCTCTTCCTTTTTAGAATTTGTAGATTAATTTAATTTTTTCTTTGTTAATTTTGTTTAGTCGATGTTGACATCAATTTTAATGTTGATTGTCGACCGTAGATTTTTTTCTTTTTTTCATTTTTAGTTTTTTTAATAAGAATAAGTAGGTCTTTGTGAATGTTTTTTTTCTATCTTTGTGACATGTTTTTCATTTTTTTCTAGATGGTTTGGTCATTTTTTATTTTATGTTTTTTCAGGGTTAGATTTGATGATGTCACGACTGATTAAGATGGCGTTCATTTGTACTTCTGTTAATCTTCTCTGCTTTGGACCCTCAGATTGAATTTGTATGCATGATTTTGAGTTCATGGATAGTTTCTCATGACGCTCAGCTCTAATTTGTGATTCTCAATGGTTTTTCAACAACTTAATACTCTTTTATGGTTTGTTTACTGATGCAGTCATATTTATTTGTATATATTTTTTGTTCAAGTTTTTTTTATTGAGTTTTTAACATTTTCTATATATAGTCCTTATATGATCGCAAATAACTAGTTTTAATGTTATAGAAAAATGTCTAAATTATGTATTTAATTTACTATAATAGTTATAAATCTTATTGTAATTTTAGACACTTTTACTTTTCAATAAGATTAGCGACTTCTTTTAAGAAAATATATATATATCCAAAAATAGCAAGTTCAAATAAAATACTAACGAAGTTTGCTGAAACTAATACCGCTTTTAAATTTTTAGCATTTTATTTCTATTTTGAGAATAAGACCAAGTCACGTATTGAAGACCTGAGCGGACGTGGCCCAACCTTTTGGGAAAATGTATTAAGTCTCTTTAATTTTTTCTAATATTTTATTTCATTTTTATAATTTTTTAAAATCTTTTAAAAATTAGATTACTTTTTTTTAAATATCATTAATATATGTTTATATAATTTTAGAAAATATTTGTATATTTTAAATAGTGATAGACATGGGTAAAATAAAATAAAATACAATCCACTTAACACTTTCCTATAATATAAACAAATTTTCAGTCAAAATAGAACTATGCAACCCAGCTAAGGTAGGGTAGAGCATATAATAAATGTTGGAATCTTTCAGGGTTCAATCCTGTTAATTTAAATTCTTTCAGATATTTTAGGGATCCACCAGTCCCATCTTCCAACAATTGGGTCCCCAAGTTTTGAATGATGAAAATTCAGGGTGACAGGCAGGCGAGAGGATAACAGTGGTTTGGTATGCCGGGCTGACAGGCCACAAATGTAGCTCCTGCTAGGAGTCGAGGAAACTACAACTTGATCCTCTTTTTTGATCTCTCAATAATGTTCCCAATCTACCAACTGGAAAGAATGACAAGGGGTCCGCCACATAATGGCGCAACAGAGTCATTCTTCAGAATTTCTTTTAATATGATGTAAGTTTCAGCACCATCATTCATTACTCCTTGCCACTTTTCCCTGTTAATAATGGGGTCCAGACTCTCAATCAATCCCCCTATTATTATTGCTCTTCAACAGATAAAAAATAACATAAGGGCCACATGACACAATTCATCAGATCATAAATCACTTCTTCAACTCATACACCGACAAGTCCAAGTTCCTACTTTGTAAAATTGAACAATAAGTTAAAGATAACAGACGATGAAAAATAATGTAGAGAAACTTAAGTTCTGACAAAGCTTTCTTTTGATGAACCTGCACCAGGCTCAGTTTGAGGCTTAGATTTTAGTTTCTTATTGTGGAAGGAACTGAGGCAGCGCTTACGAGAGTGGACCTGAACGCATTATCACCAACGCTGGCACCATCGTGAAGTTTCTTGTTCTCAGCTATTGGACTGCTACGTGAGCTGCTATTTGAAAGTGAACAAAAAGGTGCCTTCTGCAACACAGCTGGTGAAGATCCCAACTGCTTGACGGTATCTACGTTGTTTGCGGTGTAGTTTAAGACCTCTCCTAAAGGACCTCCCATTGAACTTCCCCAGGACATAGGTACCCGGTTAGCTTGCTTTTTGCTCTGGTCAGTCATGTCAATGCTCATTTCCAGGCCCATTTGGATCGGATCAAATTCCCGAGATAACCTCAGTGATGAAAGGTCAAGTTTCTCTTTCGCTGGTGAGGATGAGGACAATGAGAACTCTGATTTTGCCATAGGAATAGACATCGAGAGTTGGGTCCGATCTGATTTTAACTCACCTGGCCAAGTAATGCTAGAATGATTAAACTCATCCTTGAGCCAGCCATCAATGAATTGGTGAGGTGGAGTGTGGTTTTGTGTTTCTTGACCGGTGAAGTCTAGGAGAAGACCAAACTCTTTAGAATCCATGTAGGAGCTTTTATGCGACGGATTAATGAGAGAATCAGAGGCAACATGTCCAAAATCTGATGGAAATGCTTCTGCAAAGGGAACACCTTGTTTTGTAATGGTAAATGCGGACTCCTTCAGGTTGGTGGTGGAAAACACCGGCAACCTCCGTCGATCTTGTATTCTGCCACAAGTATCCTCTTTATTAGTAGAAACATTTGAAATGGAACCACAAGGAACATAATGAAAGACTCAAAAAGTATCCGTATAAAGAGAAAACAAAAAAGCAAAATATGTTAAATACGAGCCTCTACGTGAATTTGATTTAGACTATAATATAGGCAATAGGCCAAAGTACACAGCAAGGAGAATCCTAAGTCCCAACTACACGGTGTGGCCACTGTCACCAAAGTAAAGATTAAATAATGGGGTCTCGTTAAAGTATATATATATATAAGTGTATATATATACAAACAGTTAAAGCATAATCATTTCTAATATTGATAAAGAAATAATAAGAATGTAAGCAAGTAAAGCAACCTCATAAGCATAAGTATAGTTTTACCTGTTGACAAGGGTGTCTGGAGAAGGATCGGCAGCACCCGATTGCAAGTTCTTAAACTGGTGCTGCCATGCAATAGCGAGGCTGTTGGCTGCACCACCTCTGGTTTTAACCGATTCTGACACGGAGGAAGACATGGGCACCTCCTTTGAATTAGTGGTCCCAGTGGCGGCATGACCAATCTGGCCTTCCACAGGCTTTCTTGAACGATGGCGGCCCCTGTTTATGTGCCTTTCACAATATTTTTGGTCAGCAACAGCATCCCGGGAGCAACGCCATTTCTTTCCATCCGTTCGGCGACACCTCCCTGGCTCAGGGTCAGTGTTGCCAGTGTACCGTAGATGGAAAGAACCCCATCCCACTACATAAAATTTTTAAAACAGGAAAATGAGAAGGCCACTCAATGATCAATAATAAAGACAAAGCAAGCAAAAAGGGAAAAAAAGAAGAAAAAAAAGAGAAAGATTTTACATCAAACCCAGTTTACTGTTAGCTGATTTTTTTTTCATGTCTGATACCAGGCTTTGGAAAAAACTTTTTATCAAATATAAACAGATCACCGCACAAAACTGTAATACGAGTTCCAGTATTTATGCACTAAACAATAACATTAGCAGACACCTTCAAAGAATGAAATGAAACCCAAATATGAAACTAAAAACACACTAATGACAAACAAGGGATCTAAGTCGAATACATGATATGGGAGACAGATTATTATCATTCCAGAATTTCATTTTAAGGAAAGATAAGAATTTTACATGAATTACAAGGAAAGGATCCAGCAGATGAGCTGGTGAAGCCATAAGGGTAGAGGGATTTCTTCAAAGGAATGAGAAAATTTGAAGGGACAGGCACATTAGACGTGATGTACTTGTATATCAGTGCCTGGTATTTGAGCTCATTCCACTGAGATAGAGTAAAAGGTCCTTCAACCCCAGTAAAATTCCCATGCATGCCTTCATTCAGGCTTCCGGAACCATAACCTGAAACACGACATTGGATGGTTAACTTGCCTGAAACATTTACTTGATGAAGAATCCATATAAAAAAAAACTTCAATTTTCAACCAAATTCCTATGAAAGCGTCACTATTACATAGAAACGAGTCCACTTAACAATTTAAGTAACCCTATTTTCTGCAAAATGAAAATGGAGCAAAATCTCTCGTACTTGATGAAGCCACATTTTGAACTTAAGATTAAGATCATTGATCACATCATTTTCATAACTTAAATCTTTCCCTTTCCTCTTTCTCCCCAATTATT